TCACAAAATGTGCCGTTATCATTTGGTGTGTGCCAGAATGTGCATTTGGAGCATTTTGAGTTTGAAATTTCAATACACTGTAATACATATGAAATGTCATAGCAAAGTCCACTTTCATATAAAACCATGTCTTTAAAACAGGATGAACATTTTTCGGGTTGTGTGCATGTTGTGCAGTTGTCATTACACCTTTCACATTCATTGTAATTGACTGTGTAATACCCATCTTGACACCTGTTACACCCATTTTGTGTGACTTCGACAGCACAGCCAATAATACTGTTTTGTGGCAAACACTTACCACTTTGTGTCTTGTAATTTGTCAAATTGCAAGTCAAACATTTTTCTTTTGTGTTGCATGTTGAACAATTCAAAAGACACTCATAGCAATTCAGACCGATTCTGTAATACCCGTCTTTGCATTGATAACACCCACTTGTTATTGTTGATATTTTGTTGCATTTATTCAACAAGTCTGTGCTAGATAAACAAGTGTAATTATCACCTTGATAAAATCCAGACTTGCATGAAAGACACTTCGTGTCACTCTCTACACAACTGGTGCAATTCTCTGAACATAAATTACATTCAGCATTTAAAAGGTAATACCCGACTGCACACGAAACGCACCCATTTTTGTTAAATGAGATGCAATTTGTTGAATTATTATTTTGTGATGTTTTAACACAACTTTTGTTATTATTAAAAATGTAATTGTTTTCACATTCAACACATTTATTGTTTACGATGAACACACAACTGTTTATTTCTGTTTGGCAGAGTCCGTTTTGGTCTATTGTTGTTGTATTTGTACACACCATTGCTATGCAATGTCCACAATTGTCTTGTCTGTAATTTGGTTGGCACGAAACAACACGTGTTTTATCACATAAATAAGAGTGTTCGTATTTATTTGAACAATTGTTACAACTCTCACCTTTAATGTAAAAAGTGTCATTACACCAAATAGTCGAGACGCCAACAGTCAACCCGTTGTTTTGTATTTCACATATTCCAACAGAGTTGATTACAAATCCCATGTTACACAAAATACATTTCTCTGATTCACAGAGCTGACAATTTATGTCAACACACACCTCACAATTTGCTTCTGTGTTTCCTTCACTGCAATGTAAACACAAATATTCGTTTGATAGAACACACTTATCTTCTCTATAACAGTTGTTGTTGTTCCGAATATAACCGTTTCGGCATTTGTAACACTCTGTGGTTGTTCCAATTGAGCAATTATCTGAAGATACACACTCGTGATCATCATCCAAAACATAATTGTTTACACACATCGTACAAATGCCATTCAAATTCCAAATTTGACATTTCTCATCAATAGGAAGACATTCCCCTTCAAAGAGTCGATAACTTTCACCACACAACAAACACGTTGTTTTATCTTTTGTTGTTTCCATGAGAATACATCCCTCAAGTATTTTATTGTTTGATGGATAATCCATCACTATGTAACTTGTGCCATATTGACCAAATTGAATTTTGTTTATTTGATACAAAGAAGTGTTTTTCAAAATTACAACATTTGTATTTTCATACAAATTCAGAACATCAATAGTACTTGGACATTCTATTTGGAAGTATCTAAATTCTTTAACAAGAAAGATGCTGTATTTAAAGTTTCCTGTGCACATTAATGTATTGGAAGATGTGTGATAATGTAACGATGTATTAGTTGTATATTTATTTTCATACACCCCATTTGTCAACACTCCAAATGAAAATGAAAAGATCATGTTGTCAAAGTGAGCAGTAATATCGAGTTTGGTGTCATCATTGATTGTTACCCGTTTCACTCTTTTAAGATTTGTGACTTTGATATCTCTATCAACAAGCAATTCCGTATTTGAAATATCAAAATCATACATATTATACATATCATACATCTCTGAAAACTTTAACTTGCAATTAACAGTGGTGTCTGAATTACAAGGACAATGTGGATAGTCGAAAGCACTTTCCATTGTTGTTGGGCTGTCATTGATGTACATTTCTTTCTTCAATGTGCAGATGACATTTATGTCAAGTTGTATACCATTTGGACAGAATCGAATCATTTTTTTATTTGATATCAAATACCCCTTCCCATCTGTGAAGTTGTATGAATACTCAAACATCAAAGATGAAATGTGATCAGTTGTTGTTATATAAACATCCAAATTATTTTGATTGTTGAGGGAAAACACATCAAAACATTTTGTGTTTCCAATTGGATTTAATATCTGGAAATCAGGTCTTCCAGTAATGTTTTTGTTAAGATGAATATAAGTCGAGTTCCACAATATAATTCTTGGCTTGTTCAGTTCCGGATTTGTAATATTAAGATTTCCCGCTTCAGAAAATAAACCAAATATTGTTTTATTGTTAATAACATTGATCATAGCACCACTCTCAAATTTAATACTTTATTAAAATGTAAAAGACATGAAATGGTTAAACTGACGTTTTCAAAGAGTGTGGTTGCATTTAATATTTTGCCAATATTTATCGCCGATGTTTGTAAATTCCATGTTTTGAAGAATGTAAACATCTTCACATTTTGATGCACGGGTAGAAAAATTGAAATAGTTGTTAAAACAGTATGAGCGTGTGTTTGGAATAAATAAACAATTAACAGTGCTGAATCCATTATCAATGCTGGAATTAATTTGTGTGCAGTCGCATTGATATCCACTCGTCAAAACAACAACAAGAAATTCAATAAAGACCATTACTTTATAATTTATTATATAACTTATGTAGTTGAAAAACATTATAAAATCATTTATAATTTTTTTATTTGTTATAATTTATATATATTATAATTTAATAATAAAAAGTAAACAAGTTTTTTAAAAAAGAAATAATCAGAATTTTAACTTTGATGCAGTCGTCAAGAACAAATTCACTTGATTTTTTTTATTATTTGATGAACTATTATAATTAAAATAATAAGAGTTGAATGTAATGTAGTTATTACTGTTATTTTTTATTATTTTTTAAATTATTAATGGTTTAATAATTACAACAAAAAATGTTTCATTGAATTTTAACAACTTTGTTGTGTTAATCTGCCAACAATATTTTTTTTCTTGGGAAAAATGCACTAGACGCCAAAAAATGCGTTTTTAAATAAAAAACTAATAAAAATACAAATCAAAAAAATAAATGAAATTATTAAATTCTTGTTGGCAAAAAAAATAAACATCAATAAATTTTACATATTCATTATGTTGTTGTTCTAATATACAAGTCTATTTATTATTTAATACTCTTGTGTGTTCGATCGATGATAAATATGGTATTTTATCTATAAACGAAAAATTAAAAAATAATAACATGTAAAATAAAAGTTTATTTATAATTGTTCATAATTTGGTTTATTCAAATAAACAAATGAATTGTTGAAGTTGTAACAATAACATTATTATTTTTGCTATGTTGTTTGTTAAATACATCATATTTATGAAAAATATCAACAATTTCAACAACATAGATCGCTTTTATACAAATCAAATCATGTTATTATGAAAGCAATATATTGTTACAAAACATATTAAATAAAAAATATTATCGCGTGTTATAACCAAACAAAATTAACGAAGTAATGAATTACAAATCCATACTAATCTAAGAAACGAATGAATTTAAAAGCCACCTCTTAATCTCAAGACAAGGTGGAGAGTGGACTCCTTTTGGATGTTGTAGTCCGACAACGTCTTTCCCTCTTCAAGTTGCTTCCCAGCGAAGATGAGTCTTTGTTGATCTGGTGGAATACCTTCCTTTTCTTGGATTTTTGCCTAAATGATGACAATTGAGTCGTTTGGCTCGACTTCTAATGTGATGGTCTTTCCAGTGAGGGTCTTCACAAAGATTTGC